CGGCTCAGTGGGTTCAGCATCCAACTCTTGATTTCGGCCCAGGGCTGTGGCATCAAGCCCCGCGTGGAGATCCGAGCTAAACATGGAAAGTGCTTGAGAATCTCTCCCCATCTGCCCCTCAAAATGTAATAGGAAGTATAAAAAAAATCCAAGGTGAGTATTAATTATCTTTATTTAAAATTACTGGAAAATGAGGTATTTACAGACAATCAGGGCAGGTCAGAAGGAAGAACTAGCTGATACTAGGCTCTGTTCATCTTGCTACAGTTACATTTCTCCCCATACAAAACCTTCCCCCATCACTCCAGTCCAATACTTCCATGTTCTAACAATCTAGCACCGTCCTGCCCTTTAAATCCCCCCTTCATAGCCCTTCTGCTCATTCATCAAAACCACCTAACATGCTGACAGATGCTCCCTTTGTGCCAAATCGCAACTTCTGTAGGTTCAATGTAACTAAATACTATGAAGAGCTTATATTCTTAATACCTCTGTGCTCTCCCCTGACCAAACTGGCCTCATCTGTTTCCGCATTTCTACCGTTATACTACAATATGAAATGCCAAGAGAGGGAAGTAACTTTCCAAGAGGTCACATAGCCAGAAAGTTACATGAGGATCCGTGTTCAGGGCTACACATGTGACAGGAGCTTGAGTCAGTACCTAACCTGTGGTTGCTTCATCTGTAAAATGAGAGCACAGCGTCACCTTCACAAAGTTGTAAGAACTAAATGACAAGATGAGAAATCGAACACCTGCTGTGCTGCCCTCACTGCCAGGGCTGTCCTGCACTGGATACATGGTTGCTACAAGTGAAATCAGAATATCTGACCTCATTAGAGGCATGTGTATGTTGTAAACTGCAGAGTTGGGATAAATCAGTTAAAATACCAGCATTAGAGTATTCCAGCTTCCATGGCTTGTGCCTGTAGTTTTCAACCTACAAAAAAGAAAAATTTTCAAATGACCTTTTACATTTTAAACAGAAAGCAAATTTTGAGGTACATTCTTTTCAGTTTGTCTCAAAGGAGGCACAGAAAAAAGCCTTGTATGCACTGTTCCAATACCTGGGTTTTTCACCTTTAAAAATAAGCTGCCCTTGGGGCACCTGGGCGGCTCAGTTGGTAAAGCACGGGGGTCAAGATTTTGGCTCAGATCATGATCTCACCATTTGTGAGCTTGAGCCCCACTTCCGGCTCTGCGCTGGCAGCGGAGAGCCTGCTTGGGATGTTCTCTCTCTCTCAAAATAAATAATCGTCAAAAAATAAATAAATAAATAATAAATAAATAAACGGCATCTCTGAAGGTATTGTCAAAACTAAGGTTAAGGTTAAATTTATCACTGTGCTATTATTAAACGTATAAAAATATCACAAAGGTGCTGAAACTTCAAGAAAAATTTCCTCTGGGTCCGCTGTGACTCCAGACAGGATCCAGAGAGGAGTTTTACAGTCTCATCCCTGGGTTTTATGGAGACTTACTTTACCCTTCTGTGTTAGCCTCTTAAGGCACTGCGTCAACCTTAAAAGGGCACAGGAAAGGGCGGTCTGGGGTTTTACAGGCTTCTCTACGACCCCTGCTCTCCTCTCCCGACAACACCCCCTGAACCTCAGCGGTTTCCAGGGCCAAGTCGGAAAACCCACCGGAAGCAGTTGTCCTGCGGGGGGTGGGGGAGCCGGGAACTTACATGCCCTCTATCCGAAGGGGCAGCCAATTGGGGGGGCCTTGGAACCAAGCACGTGGGAACCCCCGGTCGCCATTGGCCACGTGCTCCGGGCCGAGCGCCTCGCTCTTCCCTCCAGGACGGGGACATACCTGCGCCTGGAAGTCAGGCCGCTGCAGCCCCGCACACGTCGGAGACCGACTCCGCAGGCCCCGGGTCGGGCTCCCGCATTCGCAGGCGGGGGCCGGGCCCCGAACCCGCCTCAAAGCAGCCGCCACCGCGGCCGCGCCCTGGGGGAGCAAAGCGCAAGAATGTTAGGGCGCCCGGGCCTGCCCGCGGGGAAGCCTCCCGGCGGCTCCGCGCGGCGTCTGTGCCTCGCGCGGCCCCGGGACGGGCTGGACCGCCCGCCCCCCGGGCCGCCGAGGGCTGCTCTACCCCTCCGTTCTGGCCGCCGGGAGCAGCGGAGCTCCGGGCGGGCAAAGCTCGAGGGGACGCGGGGCGAGCGCAGCCCCACCCGGGCCCGGAGGCCTGGCACCCTCCCCCATGCCCACCGACACTTACGGCTCAGCTCCGCGGGATGAAGCCGACGACTCGCGTGCGGCACAGAGAACCCGGCGGTGGCGCGGCGACGAGGTCGGCGGCGCAGCGGGAGGCGGGCAGCCAATCCCCTCAGGTCTCCGGCCAGGGGGCGGGGCGAGCCCGGCGATTGGCGCCCGCGGTTCTCTGCCCGCCCCGGTCTTTCGGGCTCCTTCGGGCTCCTTCGGGCTCCTCCGGGCTCCTTCGGGCACCTCCGGGCTCCTTCGGGCACCTCCGCGCTCCTCCGGGCACCCCCGCGCGCCTCCGCTCACCCCCGCGCTCCTCCGCGCTCTTCCGCGGGCGGAGGATGCGCTAGGCCTGCCGGAGCATCTTTCTCGGAAGCTCCGGAGCCCTAGCGCCTCCCCTTGGCCCTGAAGGACGTGGTTCTCGCAGGCGCTGTGCCTTCCTAGGGGCCCCTCCTAGGGAGAGTTCGTGGTTACTCTAGGGCTGTGCCAGGATCCAGATTCCCTTTCGTACAACTACACCAGTCCAGTACGTGTCTTGAGTCTGTCTTGCTAATCTGGAAGCTTAAAGAGAAGCCGGACCTTGTCTCTTTGACCAGGCTCACCCAGCGGCTCCTCCTAAGGACCACTGTTCCTTCATTCGTTAACCGCGTTCAAAGAGCGGACTTCAATCAGCAAGCGGTTGGGGAGCACCATAAACCTTCCCTAGGTGACAGACTCACACTTGACAAACAAGCGGTATAAAATCGGAGTATGTGCTAAAGTAACTTGTATTACAGTCCTGAGTTTACCATCCGTTGTCAAATTTAGTCCTCAAAATATCTTATCAGCCCCACATTTTAAGTGGATAAACAGACACACTGAGTAACTTTCCAAGGTGACAAATTAGCTATTAAGTGGTGGATCGGGGATTTCAACTCAAAAAGTCTGGAAGTATAGCCCCTTAAAACACCACACTGCCTTTCCCCAGGTGTGTAAGGTGGGGCGGGAAGGGAAACGTAGCATCTACATTTGATGGGCTGATCAAGATAGGCCATCTATGTGGTTCGGGTCCAAGAGGCACGAAGAACAGCTTGTGGAAGAACAGGAAAGCACTTGACCCGTTTAAGGAGCCCAGAATGTAAATGGAACTTGAGGATGTAGGAGCAGAGTGGTCTGAGATGAGGGTGGCTCCGGACCAGACGAAGCTTGAGGCCCTGGTGGAAGGCATATGACATGCTAAGAACAATGGAAAGCTGTTCTAGCAGTTTTTAGGAGTGGAAATGATAGGATCTGATGGAGGGTGTGGTTTGAGAGTCAGTAAGTTGCTTTTGCCGAGAAGAAAAGGAGTAAATTTTATTAATACATCGTAGCAGCCAGCCACTACTTTGCAGATATTCATAAGATCAACGTAAAATGGGTTAAAGTGGCAGAGGGAACACCAGTTTGCTCGTGCGTTTACCTTTCTTATCTCAGATTCTTCTAAATAAGTCTCTGGTTTCAAACCTGTTCTTGTTTTAGTCCTTTTGGATGTCCGAGAGGCATTAACCTTTCCTTCGATTATGTCAGTGAATGTGGACAAGTTGCATGGCAAGAATCTTGGGACAGAGAAAGAAAATCTCAATAAAGAGACTAATGTAGGATTCCAGTGGCGATCTAGTGGGGTTGGCAGTAGTTGTGCAGAATGTCTTCCTCCCCAACCAGGTGATAAAAACTGAAAGAGGTTATGAAATCATTACAAAGAGTGTTTAACTTGAACTCAGGGAGAAACCCACCTCAGTCTGAAGGCTTCACACAACTCTGGCCAAATGACAACTGCAGCTCATTGGAAAAGGCGAAACCATTCATTGTGTGTAGAGGAAAAATGGCTTCTCAACTATGAAAAAAATTACTTAATTAAAATTAACACAGAGATGATGGAGTGAAATTAACTCACTGTATAAATTCAGGGTAATCTGTATGTGGTATTACAAATGCTTCTAATTCGGTTTAAAGAAATGGAACCAATTGGCTTTATTACCAGATCTGATTGAGAGAAATCTGTCCCATCTGAGAGAACTTAGCTTGATCCAGAGGACCAGGGATCCAGGTGGAAAGGCACAGGAGACCTGATGGGCTTCTGCTGTCTTCCTAGTTCCCCAAACTCCCTCCTCAACAAATAGGTCCATCTTCCCTAGACCACCCTGAAGTCCCTGCCCCTGAGCTCCAGGCTCCATTCTTGCCAGCCTGCCACAGCCTCACAAGCTATCCATTATTTTGGGGTTTTTCCCCTTTCTGTCTCTTCTCTCACTTCTGCTTGGCTCTTAGCTTCTCGATGTATATATACTCTCTCTCTCTCCCAACCTGAATAAACCTTCCCTCCATCAAATGTCCCCCAGCCCCCCAAACCACACTCTCCTCCCCTTCCTAAGAGACCTTCAGAAAGACCACACCAACACAGGTCTCTAGCCTTATTCAGCCTCGGCCTCATGCAGCCCTCAGGTCAGTATAGTCTGACTTTCCTCTTCCCAATTTCCCTGACACTACTCTCCAAGGTCACCAGTGACCTCTCAGCGACCAAATCCAATGCTCCTTATCTCCTCTAGCTTCTCTGTGGCATTGGATATAGCCGACCACTCCTTCCTTGATTCCTTCTTCCCTCTGGTTTCTAAGTCTCCACTCTTCCCTGCTTTTCCTCCTACACCTTCCTCCTCCCTCTCTTGTCCTACCCTTTCCGGCGACATTCTCTCTCAACTCTCTTGCCTTTTCGCTGTTTGCTCTTGCTGACCCACCTCCCAGGAATGATAGTGATACAACTCATTGATTGAGTATCAGACACTTTATACATGCCATCTCTAATTCATAAGACAATTCTGCAAGGGAGATCATGAGAATATTATTAGTACCACTGAATGAGCTTATGAACCAGTCATAGTGTTTAGTCTTTTACATAAAAATATCATTATCATCACTTTAGAGATCATAAACTGAGACCAAGAAAGCTTGAGTGATTTTCCTAGACTGCACAACTTTGGCAGAGCTAGGATCCCCATGCCGGGCTCCCAGCCTGCCTGCTTGCGCCCCCCCCCCCCCCCTGGAGAGGTGATCCCTCAGCCAAGACTGCTCTCCCCAGCTTCAGGTACCAAATACCCACAAGCCCTGCACACATCCTCATCCGGTGGACCCAGAGACACCACAGATCAGCTTGCCTCAAGCAGTTCATTCTCTTCTTCCAACCCCACGCTTTTGCGTCCTCTTGATGAATAACACTTCCTTAGCCCCCGCGGTCCAGGATTCAGCCCAGATGACTTCCTCTTTCTGCCTCCTCTCCAATTCTCAGCACCCTGCTTCCTCACCTCCTTTCATTCGGTCAGTTCTCTCTACAGATCATCCCTTGAGTCTCCCCTCTTGTACCCACTCCCTGTTAAACTTTAGTTCTAGCTTACATCATCTGCTTTCTGGCCCACTGCGGCAGCCTCCATTCAGCCTCCCTCCCTCCGGTCTTCCAGTATAACCCCCACACTGCTATCATCTCCATTGGAAATCCTTAAATGGCTCCATACTGCCACCAGGATCAAGACCAATGCCCTGTCTATCTTTCTACCTCCCCCCATCCCACACACCTGTTACGATCCAGCCATACTGAACTATCTGTATTTCCCTGAATGTTCTGTCCAGCACTGCTCCATGCAACTCTCTGTGATAATGGAAATGTTCTATAGCTGTGCTGTCCATTATGGCCGCCACAAGTGGCTAGTCAGTCCTTGAAATGTGACTAGTACAACAAAGGAATGATTTTAAATTTTTATTTACTTTTAACTAATATATTTTTAAATGTTTTTGTTTATGTTTCAAGAGAGACAAAGCATGCAACTGTGTGAGCGGGCCAGGCGCAGAGAGAGAGGCGGTCAGAGGATGTGAATCAGGCTCTGCACTGTCAGCAGAGAGCCCAATGCGGGCCTTGAACTCACAAACCATGAGATCGTGACCTGGGCCAAAGTCAGATGCTTAACGGACCACCCAGGCGCCCCTACTTTTAACTGATTTGAATTTTTTTTAACGTTTATTTATTTTTGAGAGACAGAGACAGAGAGCCCGTTGGGGAGGGACAGAGAGAGAGGGAGACAGAATCTGAAGGCTTCAGGCTGTCAGCACAGAGCCCAATGCAAGGCTGGAGCCCACGAACCTTGAGATCGTGACCTGAGCTGAAGTCGGATGCTTAACCGACTGCGCCACCCAGGAGCCCCTAATTTAAATTTAAATAGTCATGTGTGACTGGTAGATACCATATTGCATAGCACAGCAATTTATATCTCAAAGATGTCCAGCAGCATGGACATCACCTGAAATCTTGTCAGCAGTAAAGGCTCTCAAAAACAAACAAACAAACAAACAAAAAAAAAGGATCTCAGGCTTGATCCCTCATCTGCCGATTCATAATCTGCATTTCAACCAATGTAATTTATATGCACGTTGAAGTTTCAGGAAGCACTGCTCTAAGAGCTCTTGCTTCCTTGCCTTTGCACATGCCATTTTGTCTGGACTGCCCATCACGTCTCCTCCTTTGTTCCTTAATTCCTATTTGTCCCTCAAGACTCATCATCTGCAAGCACAACCTATTCTTAGTATGGTTATCTGGAGGACAGAGAGTGGTGGGGAGGAGTGAGAAGGAAAGAGAAAATGTCTATGATAAAACTACATGTGTCTTGTAAACCCAAGTATCTATGTATCTGTATCTATGCTCATATATACACATATTATATATAGTCCGTGTGTCTACATGAAAAGATGGTTACTGTTGGTAGTGCTTTTCTCAAGATGGTGGGATTTCACGTAATTTTTTTCTTTCAAATATTTCTGAGGTGTCATTCAAATTCTTTACAATGAGTATATATTATTTGTAATCAGAAAATAGAATAATAATCATGGGGTGCCTGGGTGGCTCAGTCGGTTGAGCATCTGACTCTTGGTTTTGGCTCAGGTCGTGATCTCATGGTTCTTGAGTCCGAGTCCTGGGCTCTGTGCTGGCAGAGTGAAGCCTGCTTGGGATTCTCTCTCTCTCTCTCTCTCTCTCTCTCTCTCTCTCTCTTTCTGCCCCTCCCCCACTCATTCTCCCTCTCTCTCTCTCTCTCTCCTTCTCTCTCAAAAATAAATATTAAAAAATTGTTTAAAAATAAAATAATAATCATTTTCATTACAGAAAATAAAAGAAAGCCTATTTTGCCTTTCTGTAGATACCTGTATGAACGTGATATCAGAATACAGTACAGTGGAACCTTGAACGATGTGGGCGTTAGACG